ATGGCCTAAGGGTAATTTGGGAAGAGGCTGCTGGCCAGAACCTGATGAAGCTATTATCTACCAGTACACAGACCATTTTTGTTCAACCAAGGAATTTAGGGAACTGCTTTCTTGCAAGTTTAGGTTCAGGTGAAACCCTTAACCCTGTCCTTTCCTAAACTGGCTCTAAAGCAGTGGCAGAAGAGGAGGGCATGATATGACAGAGGGTAATTTGCCCTGTTGCTGTGCCAGTGACCTGTACGCATGCACAGAGCTCCATCTGAGGGCGTGCCCTCGCACAGGTTCGGACCTGAGGCCTTGTCCACTCTACTTTGTGTCTCCCATGTCATTTTGCCTTCCCCGCCACATGCATACAGTACTTCAATAGGGCATGAAATCTTTTCAGCCCTGGACACATCCACAGATTCTACAAGAGATCTGTGAAGCAGGTACCTGTTACTTCTTCGGAAACTGAGACTCAGAGAAAGCAAATGACACATCCAAGATGAAAGAGCTAGAAAGTGGAAGTCCTAAGACTGGAGCCCAGCTCTGCTCTGAATCCAGTGCTTCCACAGTTCTGGACATCTCCTTCCCTGGGGCCCTGGATGTGGGCTTTTGCTAAGAAGGAGAGGTTCCCTTAAAGGGGCTGAAGGATCCTTGGCCTCAAAGCTCCCTTCCTTTTCTTGATATGTCCTTTCATATGGGAGGTTACAGGGACATCAGGAAGCCAACGGTGGGTGTGGAATGAGCCCCAGCTTCAGAGTCAGGAATTCAGAGCTCTCTTTGATTCTGTGCTATCTCTCCTGTGCCCGTGAGCAGGTCACTGTCCCTCTCAGCATCTTGGGGTCCTTGTTTACTACAGAGAGTCATATTCCTTTCCCTGCCTACTTCTTGGGTATGACGAGAGTCAAAGTAACAAGCGATGTCACAAATGCACTGCAAAGCACCGTAACAAATGCGAGGCATGATTCTGAGCATCTTCATACAAACACGAGGGCTGGTGGCCCTCAGATTCTTTCTTTCATTCATTTGCTCAATGCCAGAAAAATGTTTTTGGACTATTTTCCCTGCACCAGACACTGTATCAAGTACTGGGGATTCCCCAGGCTTTGGGGAATCCAAAGGAAGGAGAGAGATCTCAACAAACAATTATGGCACATAGACATGAGGACTTGTGCAGAGATGTCCACAATGGGGGAGACCTTTCAATGAGTGTCCAGAGTGCTGTGGAATTTTAAAGGATTTCAGTGAGCAGCAAACAACTGGAGCCAGAGAAAGCCCCACAAAGGGAGGATGGTACGGTGACGGGGGCAGTAGATCAGGAAGGCAGAGGAAACCGGGCACAGTGCGTGGGGGAGTGTGTGAGTAGGTCAGCCTGCCCGGGGCTAAACCAGCTGGGGTATTTGAGGGAAATGTGGTGGTTCTTTCTTGTTGGCGGAATGGAGCCTAGTGGTCACCCTGAACTTCTCTCCAGGGCATGTTTAGGTTGTGTGTCCGTGTGTATTGCGCTGACTCTCTGGGTTGCGGGAAGAAGCCCATATAAATGAAATTCAGTGATGGAACTTTGTTACGAGGTTCCTGGTGGAAGGACAGATTTTTAGGAAACACTCAGCTGCCAGCGGACCCTAAACTTGCAAGTCAGCACAGTGCCGCTCAGGTTACACCTGAGCCCTGGAGTCGCACCCTCTCCAGGAGCACCTAGTGTCAGTTGTTGGTGGATCCTGAGAGAAAGAGGGTCCAGTTGGGTTGGTCTGCTGCTGGCTGGCTTAACACGCCCATCAGGCGGTTTGCAGCTGGGCGTCCATGCTGGGAGCTGGTTTCCATTGTGACCCCATACAGCAGGCCATCCCATCCCAGGTCCAAGCAGGACTGGTTTTAATCACAATCCACTACCACCTTACATGAGAGAACTTTTCATCAGAAAGGGCTTTGAGGGGGGCAGGTAACAGCTTTCTAGAATTCACCTCTTAGATGGTATTTAATCCACATAGACTATGTTGTCTATTCTTGGAGCCCTTTTCAGTTGGGACCTTAGGGTCCAAAGTTGCCATTTCATTTTTTTTTTCCTTTAATTTACCCTTATCTTGACCAAATTTCTCCTATGGAGAGCGTTATGGCTGTTTCCCTTAAGAGAGAGCTGGAGCTGAGGCGGAAACCTTAGATATCACAGTCCAACTTATTTCACAAATGGTGAGAGTGAAGCCCAACAAAAGCAATAGACTTGCTTAAAGTTGCACAGTCAGTTAGCTGCAGAGCTAGGCCTAGCACCAGGTCTCCTGACTTCAGTCAGATTATTTTGGTCAGTATATGAGGGTGCTTCTGTGCCGCTGAGGTATTTGTGAACCTACTATTATGAGACAGTGTGCCATATCCTGGGAAGAGGCAGCCATATAATCTTTGTCCTCTAGGAAGCCTTCAGCACAAATAGAAAAAAGATAGCTGTCTGATTAAAAACGGTCCTGGGGGAAGCCAGTACAGTTAGGCAAATTTTACTATGTTCAGGGGAGAGATCTATAAAGCTCTGAGTGCCTGCCTGATGCTTCATGACCTTCTGAGAAAGGTGAGCATCAAGACTTTTTATGTTTCAGTCTTATAGAACCAAGCAGGCCCACAGCAGGACCTCTGGACCCAGCCACAGGCCAGGAGAGAGCAGTGAGGAGCCTGAAGGGAATGGAAAGGGGCTGAGATTGGGGCCTCATTGCATGTGTCCTGTTCCCTAAGCCATTTGTTCTTGAAACTCTCTACAAGCAGCTTAGAGCAAGTACTGAGCAGGACATGGGTCTTTGAAACACAAATCAGCAGTGATTTTGAGGCCACACCAGGCAGGGAGGTGTGTCTTTCCTCCCTCCCCCAGTGCATGCAATTTATAAAGGGCAAGTGGCATGTTTCTTTTCTGGCTGGCCCAGAATCCCTCCCATGCAACAGCTAAGGGATGCTATCAGTGGCTCCTGGGAGTGGCAAAGGACTGGATTCCAGAAAGACCAGTTAACACCCAGCTCCAAGGTAAGCTCTGGAGCCTGGACCCCAGTAAATTAGTATTTCCTCCCGGTTGCCATGGAGACAGACAGGCAGCAGTTGCGCTGGAAGAGGGACCAGAAGCTTCACCAACATCTCAGATTCTGAGAAAGCCATGGTGCAGGAGGTCTTGACACCACCCTTTCTCCCCCAAATAGAGGCTCCTGTCTGTCCCCCAGTGCCCAGATGCACAGGAGCTGGTGAGTTGCCAGCGCCACAAAAGGAGACAAGGCAGTGCTGGCTCCTGAAACCCTGGTCTCCTGCTTCCCGGCCAGTGCCCTCCCGCTGCACCGCAGTTACCTCCTGCTCAGCTTTTGGAGCAAGCAGATGTTCCGCGCTGAGCTCCTGCACCCTGGGAGGGTTCCCAGACCCCTCCCTGCAGGGGATAAGTCATTAGAGGTCAATCCAGAGTGCTGGCCACTGAAGGCCAATCTGGCTCGGTGCTCTGCCGCTGTCTCTCTGGAGAACCTGGCAGAGGCTGTGTGGGGATGTGACCATTGTCGGGGAAAGCAGCTTGAAGCTGCGCCCAGAGGGAACTCAGCGAATGATGCGGTTTATTATTCCCTCATTTGATGCCACACTGATATAATTAATTTGTGGCTTCCAGCCCTGTCCTCCCTAGCCTGGGGGAAACAGTTCCTGGTTCTCCCTTCTATGGGTTATCTCTGGAAATTGAAGATGGGAGGGAAGGAGCCTGGGATCCAGGTCGCCTGACTGCAGTGGAGGTGCCAGGAGGTTGTGTCTCAGCAGCTCAGTCTCCTCCACTTTGGTAAGAGGAATGTTGTCTGGGGCTTTGCGCTCCCAGGCATCGCACGTGAGCAGGGTGGTTACCTACAAGAACAGAGCCCTGGTGTCGGGGGACAGCCAACAGATGGAGAAATGCAGAGCCTGAACATCTGGGGCTCTTGATGCTGCTGTTTTAATGATGAAGGTAGTAGTTCATGTGTGGGCATAACGAAGAAAAAAGTCAATGCCAAAGTAAGTTGAGAAAAAAGCCCACCACCTCAAACCTCCATCCCTCACCCCTGCTGGAAACTATTGATAATTTTGTTTTGTATCTTCTCAGATCTTTCTCTATGCTTGCACTTTCCCCCGTATTACTTTTTAATTATACAAGTGATGCAAGAACACATATAAAACACATATAAAAGACAAAATACCACAGATAAATGTAGAGTCCAAAATAAGTCTCCTTTTCATCTACTCTTCACCAGAGACAGCTATGTCTAACAATTTAATGTCCTAAATGCATGTATGTACAAATGTAAATACAGAATTTCAGCTTTTCTTTCTTCAGCATAAATGCAATCATAACATCCACATTGTTCTGCAAGTTGCTTTCCCCACCCCAACAATGTTACCCTGTAGATTTGTCCCTGTTGGTACACCTACCCCATTCTCTGGAACTGCTGCCTTCTATTCTATGTTATGGATGTTGTGCACTTACTTAAGTTGTCTTACAATCTTTTGTTATTAATATAATGCTTTGAGCACTTGTGCATTGACTTCTGCAGGGTTTATTTCTAGAAGTAGAATTCCTGGGGTAACATGTTTGTATATCTTTCATTTTTCTAAATACCATGGGGATTTACTTTTAAGTTTTACTTTTTTAATTACCCAAGACATAGATATGCATTGCAAAAAAAAAAATGTGGAAAGGTATAGAAAGATGCATATATATAGGAAACAAAAACAAAAAACACTCACAATCCTTCCACCAGGCAGCCACAACTTTACTTTTTGGCATGTTTCCTCCCATTATTTTTTTTCTTCTATCTCTGCTGTTGTTAGGGTGATCAGATCATACTGCATAGGTAATATTCTATTTCTTTGTGTTTTGTTTCCACTTACAGTTATAAGCATTTTCCTGTTTCACCAAAATATTTTTGTAACATTCTTTTTATGATTTCGTGATCAGTGGTATGTGTACATACCATAATTTTCTTAGCTATTCCTCTGTTGTTGGACTTTTGAGTTGCCTTCATTTTTTTTCACTATGATAACACCTCAGTGAATATCCTTTTGTATAATCCTTGTATGAAATCCAACAGTTCCTTCAGCTAGATTCTTGAAAGGAGAATTACTGGATCTAGAGGTAGGATTTTAGTGAATTTATTTTTTAAAGTTGAATTTTGAATTGCTTATATGTCCATGTGTATATATAAGGTACTGAAGGTCACACAATGAAACAAATGTCTTTCTCCGACATGGTCCTTCAGCTGTGGTTTTCCTCCTCAAAGGCAACATTATTATTACCTGGTTTCTTGTATATCTTTCATAGAAACACACACACACACATATATTTCTTATACATACAGAAACAGTAGCACAACAGATACATCTGCAGTTTTCTCTCTTAATATTTCTTGATGATTGTTCTATATATAAAACAAGAACTGCCTCGTTTTCCAAAACATTGCATATAATTAAATTCGTCAATTCTATTGATACTTTTTAAGCTCTTCCCCATCTTTTGCTATAGGAGCAGTGCAGTAATGAATGCCCTTACAAATATACCTTTTTGACCATGTGCTATTACATCCATCTGCACAACAGTTTCCTTTAGGTGGAACTTGTGGGTCACAGGGAATGAGTCTTTCACATAGACAGCTTTTACATTTTATGTTGCTAGCTATCGCTATCTCCCTAGAGGGTGCCCATTTCCTCATTAAAGGGTAGAGACAATTTTTAAAGCTCTTGATTCAAATGGCCAGACTGCTTTCCAGAAAAGTGTCACCTTATTTACACTCTCACCAGCAATACACCAGGGCCTGTTCACTCCTTCCCACTGAGTAAAAAATAGCATGGTGATGTTGGGCGTGTTTGTTCTCAATTGCCATTTTCTTCAAAAGGATCTGTGCAAGATTAACAACAGTGAGCAAATAGTTAATTTTTAAAACTTTTTTACTTAAGAAGAATCTAAAAACACGGGACCTGGGAGAATTTCCTATCCCCCTTCTGCCATATATAATGTGTGACCTTGGGAAATTGCTTATCATCTCTGAGACTAATGTCTCAGAGTTGCCGAGAGGAGGGAATGACATAATACAGTTAGTACAGTGCTTGGCACATAGCGAGGGATCAAAAGGTGGTAGCAAAGAAGAAATGCTTGGGCAAAAATGACATCCTTCCAAGTAATCCCAGCTGAGAAGAAGAGATCCTTCCAGGTCTGAAAAGTCAGCTGGGTGGTGCCAGCTTTGATCTGTCCCTCAAATTCGCCCTCTCGTCTTTTCTGCCTTGAAGAAGAAAAAAGAAATCTGGCTACCTGCACCTGGGGAGAAACACCCGTACTAGGACTGGTTCTTAGGAGAGGCTGGGGTCCGGAACCTCACCCTGATTCACCTAATGCACCTCGGAGGAGCCCCAGCGGCCTTTGGTCTTCACCCTCCACGGAGGTCCCTGCCCCGGGGCTCCCACAGCCTGGGCGGAGCCTGGGGAGTAGGGGGGGGGGCGGGGGTTGCTGACCCAGCCTCGCATTCCCGACGCAAAGCTAACAGCGGGCGGCGGCTGCCGGGGCCGCCCGCGGTCCCGTTTCGGAGTTGCGGCGGCTGGGAGGTCCCTGTGAGACCTCATTAGTGCTCTTCTCTGCAGCTCGTGCTCCCTTGCAGCCACGGAGGTGCTGCAGGAGGCAGAGAGGGGTCACCGGGGCCGGGGCCGGGTGCTGCAGTCGGGCCTGGCGAGTTTCCGAGTGACCACCTGGGCTCCGCATCTCCACAAGTCCCTCCCGCAAACCCAGCGAGTCTTGGCCTCCCTCTTCCCCAGAACGGGGCTGCTGCGATGGACGTTCAGCAGCTGGAGACGCCATTTCTGTCCCCACCCTTGTGTGGGAAGGGCCAATCACAGCCCTGGTGTGCGGCTACGGAGCTGCAGGTAGAAACCGCCTAGGGTGGGAGAGCACTCTGTGGAGCGAAACGGAGCCATTTTATGGGAGGATTGCAGTCATTTCCATTCACAGTATAATCACCATGTTGGTTAATTTTAGCCACTCCCTCCCCGCCCATACCCTACACCTCAGTCGCTCCTGGATCTTCCAGGGAGAACTGACGGGGACCAAGATTGTGCCACAGGGAACCAGTTGACGTGGAGTCTGGTCGTAGCCTGCTAACCTAACCTGCTCTATGACCCCGAGAAAGCGGTACAGCCCAGGCCTGACTCCTCACCCGTGAAAATGCAGGGGAAGACTAAAATCAGACCAGGTCAGGTATTGGTGAGGTTGCAAGAAATAGATTCTTTCAATTTGCCCTTGTCAGGTAAAGCTGAAAATATTCATACCATGCGCTCTAACAATTCTACCTCAAGGTTTCTGCCCTGCGGAAATACACATGCATTCTGTGAGATTGTCCATTGCAGGACATATCCAATGGCAGACCGTTGAAAACAGCCCGATGGCCATCAACAGGGAAAGCAAATAAAATAGGGTCTATATTCATAATGGGTCACTATATCACACAAAGAATAAATTAGGTTTATTTATGCAAGTATGTGGATAGAACCCATAGTATAATAAATAAAAACAAAGTTGCAGAATAATACATACAACGTAATACAATTTTTGCAACATATCAAACAGAACTGTGGATTTTCTATGGCATATTCAAACATATGTAAAAGCAATTTTTTTTTTAAAGAAGACTAAAACAATATGCTCCTAACTCACAAGAGTAGCTTCCTCTGGGGAGAGGGGCAGGGAATTGGAATAGCTAGTGGAAGTAAAAGGGAACTTCAGCTTTCTAGTATTCTAATTTTTTTTTTTAAAAAAGGACAGTGCGTTCATACATTACTTGAGGAATTTTAAACTGTATTCATAAAGAAAACTCTAGAAACAAATATGTCAAAATGTAAACAGTGGTTAATTTGATAAAGAATGTCATTGTTTTTTTCTTTGTACTTTCTGGAGTTTAATTGTTTTAAATGTGGGGAAGGGGTTCGAGAGTGTGCGATCCATCAAAGCCCTTAGCTCACAGAGCCTGCAGCCTTGTGATTCTAGGTCCTGGGCATGCCTGAAGTCTTAGTTCCACCCTGTAGGGTGCTACTAGCTCCCGCCCAGCCCACTCCCCAGTCTTGAGCCCAGTCTTACCAACTGAAACCTGAGGGCTCCAGCCAGGGCAGAGCACTTGCCCTTCACTACTGTGCTAGGCTCGCTCTCTCTTCTGATCATTTAGTTGCCCTTTTCCCCTCTTCCTGACACCTTCTTACCCTTTCTCTCAGCCTGCAAACCTCCTTCAGTTCCCATCAGCAATTCTGACCCTTCCCCAGGAGGCCTTACCTGCTCCCATCCCCCAAGTTAGCGGTGGGTACCTGTTCTCCCTCGGCAATCTGAGCTGGTTGCCCATTCACGGGAGCTCTTGGGACCAGGGACTGGCCTTCCTCATTCCTGTACTCCCAGGGCCTCCTACAGCGCCTGACACCTCAGGAGCTCTTAAGTGAATAGACAGCCAGGACCAACAGCGGCATGCTCTTCTCTGGGCTGTTTGCTGGTATTCATTCTAGAGACTCTGAAACTCTGGGGGTTCCGCTTGCTCAAGGTAAGAGGCAGATCCAAGATTTAAACTCAGAGACTCCAGCTCCAGAGCCCACACTCTTAACCATTATGCTCTGAGCCTCTAATGTGTCCAGTCTGTTCATGAACCAAATATGTTTTGAGAGCCTACTATGTGTCAGGCACTGTTCTATAGTAAAGAAGAAAATGGACACAGCCCCTATTCTCATAGATCATACATTCAAACCAGGAGAGAGGGTGGGGAGACACAGAAAACAGATAATTATGTGATTTGCTTATTTGTGATAAATGAAATATACAGGACAATAGGAGGAACAGATTGGAGGGCAGGGGAAGACTAGGAGTTCAGTTTTAGACACATTTAGTTTGAAATGCCTGTGAGAAAACCAAGAGACGATGCCAAACAGGTGTTGGATAAATAAGTCTGGAGTCCAGGGCATAAGCCCAGGCTAGATATATAAAATTGGAAGTCAGTAACGCAGGTGGTAATAAACCGTAGGAATGGCTGAACCTGTCAGGGGCATAACTGGGTATAGAGAAGAGGTCCAAGTACCGAGTTCAGCTATACTCAGCAGTGTCAGAAATGAAGAGGAACTAGCAAAGGAGACTAAAAGGGTACAGGCAGTGATATAGGAGGAAAACCAGAAGAGTAGTATAGGGAGGGCCATGGAAGCCAGGTGAATAGGCTTCAAGGTCAGCCACAGCAAGGATGATGAGAGCGTGGGATGGGCCCCTGGGTGCAGTAACGCAGATGCCATTAATGATCCTGGCAAGAGCAGCGTCTGTCAGTAAAGTGGTGGAGGAGGGTTTAAAGAGAAAAGGCGGAGAGGAGTTGGAGACAGCAACAAAGACACCCCTCCCAGAGAGCACTGTAATGGAGGGCAGAGGAGTTGGGGGCTCTGGAAGGAGTGGGGGGGTTTAAGGTGGAATGAATTGCAGCGTGTATCCATGGTGAAAGGAAAGAGCAGGTACAGTGGGAACACCTGCTGGTGGAGGGGATTTGAGACAGGAATGGGTCCCCAGATTCTCCTTTCCATGTTCTACCCCTCCTCTCTCTCCATCTTTGTTTCCCTGTGTCTTCTCCTGCTCTCCTGTCCTTGCCGCACTTTCTCCTCTTGTAAGGAGTCAACCTTATCTCCGCCAGCACACACGCAGCAATCCTGTTCCAGGAAGGATTTGCCAAATGATCTTGACCTTTCTTCATACAAAAGCAGGGCTCTATCAGGCCACCAAAGCAGGATTGTGTCTGTCCCATGAGAATGCGTTGATCACCATAGGCCCCAGGGCCTGTCCTGCCTGTTGTCATACTACCAGTATAGTTACCTTTTCTTTGGTGTGTATCTTGTGAAGCCAGATGGACTATAAGGCTGTTAAGGACACGGACTCCAAATGAAGCTTCTTTGGGTTCCTCATGATACCTAGCTGGGTGCTGTGCAAAGAGTATTCATTTAATCAACATTTATGAAAGACCTGCTCTTTGCTAGGGTCAGTGCTAAGTGTTTCAAATCAACAGTTCCCACCCTTAGAGAACTCATGGTCCATACAGAAGGCAGACATGTAATCAAATAATGTCAAATAAACTGTCAAGTGCTACACTAGAGACACAGAGGGTGCAGAGAAGGAGGAGATTAACTCTATGCGGGAGTGGATGGGAAGACTTCACAGAGGGGATGGCAAGGACAGGGCGCTTGAAAGATGGCCCGGAGTTTCCCTATGAGCTGGAGGGGAGAGGGCGTTATGGGAGAGGGAACCTGCCAGATCACAGAGGTGTAGGACAGCACAGCATGTTTGGAAAAGGGCAAACCTTTTGATATGATTGTACAGTGGGTGAGGGTGTGTTAGAACAGTGGGAAAGGATCCTGGAGAGACGGCAAAGGGTTGGATTGTGGAGCGCCTCGTGTGTCATGCCAAGGAATTTAGCCTTTAATCCCACAGGATTTGGTAAAGTGGAAGGATGGAACCAAATTTTTAGAGAGAACGTTGTGATGATAGTGGAGCAGAGGTTGACTTACTTTTGACAGTCATATTAGAAAAAGTTTCCTTACGCTTAATTATTTGCCGATATTTAAACATCAGGAGATTTCACAAGAAGTCCTAAATTCCAGCTTCTCTAGTCACACAATGTTCCAGGATGGCCATCAGCCAAAGTGAAGGGGAAGTCCCCTGTTAGAATGAATTATTCATGTTGCCCCAAAAGATGTTGAAGTTCAAGCCCCTGTATCCAAAAATGTGACCTTTTTTGTAAATTGGGTGTTTGCAGACGATCAAGTTAAAATGAGGTCATCAGGGTGGGCCTTAATCCACTATAACTGGCGCCCTTACCAGAGGGGATACTTGGACCCAGAGACAGACACATAGAAGGGAGACAATTTGAATCTGAGGAAAGAAAGCCATCCACAAGCCAGAAGCAGCTGAGGCTGCCAGAAGTGGGAAGAGAAGCACGGCAGACTCTCCCTCCAGGCTGCAAAAGGCACCAATACGTTTCTGTTGTACAAGCCACCCAGTGTGTGGCCCTTTGTTACAGCAGCCCAAGGACAGTAATGACCCCAGGCCACTCGCTTGGATGGCGCTGCACAGGCCAGTGAGTTGACTTGGCTGGTGATCCTCAGAATGGATCTGAGGGGGAGGGCGGGCCAAGCGCAGCTAGGAGGCTGCCAAAGTAATCCCGTCGGGTGGGTCCCCAAAAGCCCCGCAGGGCTGATACTTACTAACTGATGCAGCGGTTTAGCCATAAGCCCCTGCAGGTCTCTAAATCAACCCGGAGTTCCAGGGATACATCCACTCTTCTTCCCTGTGGGTATTTTCTCTTGTACAGCATCCCGCCCTTCTCCACCTGCCAGCTCTGCCACCCCCACCTCCCCGGGCCTGAATTCTGCTCAGTGTACACTTTCACCTGCCTCGGAAGGGGTGTGATTTCCGCAGCCTTGGTTTCGACTTCCTGTGACAGCTGTAACCTCTGTTCTCACAGAACTGCTAAGATTGCTGATCAATGCCAAGTGCTTGGAAGTTTTGTAAGTAATTGGGAACGTGTTCCTGCAGGCAGTAGGAAAATGGGCTATTGTGTGGCCCAGAAATTTAATGAATTAAAAATAACTAGTACCTCCCCCCTATTTTTTAAAGGTCTATCTACAAGTGCCCTTTCAAGAAAAAGGGTAGATCTAAAATGAAAGCCATGCCCCTGGCCCCATGTGGGAGAAACAGTCCATTATCTGTTTGGAGCCCCAAAAGCCCAGCAGAAAGTGACTGCCACCTCACCATCCTCACATCATCTTTCTTGCTCAGATTTTGATTATTTGGAAAGTCTGATTGGAAGAAGCAACAGGAAGTAATCACTCCCCAGTGTCACTGGCTAAGAAGACATGATGCTACATGCAAGGCAGTGTCCTGACTTGGATCCTGGAACACAAAAGGACCCCAGTGCAGAAACGGGAATCCAGTTAAAGTTGGCCATTTAGTTAATTTGCACCAGTGTTAATGCCTGCGTGGATGAATATACCGTGGTGACATAAGATGTTAACAGGGGAAGCTGGCTAAAGAGTGTATGGGAACTCTGAACTATCTTTACAATGTTCTGGAAATCCAAAATGATTTCAAAATTGAAAGTTTAAAAACAAGTGAAACATACATATTTTTAAATGTCCCTGGGATAATACTTTTTGAATTGCAAGAGACTGGATTCCAGAATACACTCTCTGTTATGCTGTCCAACCCTCAGCGCTAAGTGTTGTTTAGTGGTCAAAAAGACATCAGGCACACCTCTGGGAAGGCAGAACGAAGGCACAAAGGACAAAGACATGTTCTGCCTGGGAGGAGACTCACAGAGGGTGGGGCGCTGGAGGCAGCACTCACTGGCCAGGCCGGGACTTACCGCTGATGCTGTCAGAAACAGGAATCCCCAAATCCCTTTCCAGTGAGCCTCCCTCAAAAGCCATGGAGGAAATAGAGCACACATGGCTGCAGCCTCCACTGACCCTTACTGCACATGCCCCATTTTCAGGTGAAGTCAGCTGCCAGTGCCAACCACCCCATGAAGAACTGACCATTGCTCAGGCCGCCTTAGGAATGGGCCCCTCAGAGTGTATGCAAATGGAATATTTGATCTCTTCCACTCAGGTCATGCAAGGGCACTTATGCAAGCAAAAACGCTGTTTCCAATGGCTACTTGTTGGTAGGAGTTTGCAGTGATGACGCACAAATTCAAAGTGTTCACTGTGCTGAATGAAGCTCTCAGACTGTTGCTATGTGGATGATATCATCAGAGATGCTCCGTGGACATGCACACCAGAGTTCCTGGAAAAGTATAAGACTGACTTTGTGGCCCACGATGACATTGCATATTCTTCTGCTGGCTCTGATGATGTTTTACAAGCATATCTGGGAAGCAGGAATGCTTGTTCCAATACCGAGAATGAAAGACATCTCAACATCAGACATCATCACCAGAATTGTCCAAAACTATGATGTTTGTGCCCAACACAACCTCCAGAGAGGGAACACAGTCAGGGAACTAAATGTCACCTTTATAAATGAGAAGAAATACTGCTTCTAAAACCAGGTAGACAAGATGAAGGGAAAGGTCAAGGGCATGGAGGAAAAAATCAAAAGAACTTGTTAACAGAGTGGAAGAAAAGAGTCATGATCTAATTCAAAAGTGGGAAAAGAAGTTGAGGAAATTCATTGGTAGCCTCCTAGAACTGTTCGGGCCCAATGGAGCACAGATATGTTGGAGTACCTCTAAAATACTGAAACCTGTAAAGGGATTGATTTGTCAAGACATTTACTGCTTCACTAGATGTTAAGAGCTTCTTAAAAAGGGAAACTTTGTAGGAGAGGAAATAGAGAATTATTTTCATATGGACAAGACTAAATGGAATTATTTTCTTGGGAGAAAACTTTATAAATGGATGTCTCTTAATACAGTAAAAGACTGAATTAAAATACCTTTCTCTTTGGAAAAAAAAAAAGACACCAGCCAAACGATTCAACATTTGCTGAGTGTCTATTCATGGCACCATAGGAGAACCAAGACAAAATCATATAGAATCCTACCCACAAGGAGCTTACTTTCTGGTGAGGGGACCAAAGATGTGTATGGTAACTACAACACCAGACAAAGGGTGTGGGTCAGTGAGATTTATCAAGACCTTGAAGGTGGAGAGAATTTCAATAGATGCAGAAGCCAAGGGACTCAAGGCTAAGGGTTGGTGTTAGCAAAACACTGGGACATGTTAGGTGTGTGGCTTCTCAGGGAGTTGAGAATTAGTTCCATAAAGCCAAGACTTGGAGGGGTTGGGATTGGGGGGAGGAGTAGGGTAGAAGTCTCAGAGACTTAGGAGGACATGAGGTAAGTGAGGAGGACATTCTTTTCTGTTTTTAAAATATAATCACTTTATCATTAATAGAAGAAGTATATGTTCACTTTAAGAAGCTTGGAAAAGTCAGAATAGTAGGAAGATGTTATTTTACCCTTCAGGACAAATATTTTGGTGCATATCCTTTATTGCATTTTGCTCCTAGTTGGGCTCATATTGTACACCCACTTGAGTAACCTTTGCTTGTTTCATTTTAGCATAAATACCATGAGTCTTTCCCTAATTCATTAAAAAAAGAATCTTAAAGCATGAAGAGAGGTCACTTAGTCCACCTTCCTAATGTAAGAACACTTCTTCAACATGCCCAGTGGCTAACTGACACATCTTTAGACAACTCTCATAGTAAGAACCTCATTCATTCTTTAAGACGTCCATTCTATTGTTAGCTAAGTCCAGTGATCACAGAGTCCTTCCATGTGCATTAATTGTGCTTCCCTATAACCATCCTTTTTTGAGATGACACATCTTCAAATACATCAAGAATCAGAATCTCAGGGTCTAATTGAACTTGAGGTAGATAGGTGGGTCTCAAATGCTGTGCTAAGGACAAGGGAGCAATCACATTTTTCTTTTAGGTTTCAGAAATGTGTATTTTTCTCATATGATGTGCCCAAAGTTATTCATCAAATATTTTCAAGCAGAAAACTGGCATGATCAGAGCTGTACTTGACTATTAATACCATAGCTGTCATTTATCAAAGGTTTATTATGCATCAGTCACGATGCTAGGCACTTTACATATATTATTCATTTTATCCTGATGAAAACCCAGAGAGATGGGGGCATCATCCCCATTTCACAGATGATGAAATGCAAGCCCCAAAAGGGGACATCACCTGCCCAAGTAGTAGCCGAACAGTACCTGTAGCATTGTTTAAAGCCAGGACTCAAATTCTTGCTGTGACATGAATTAGCCAAGTGATATTGGCCAAGTATCTAGAGTTCTCTGGGCCTTTCTTCCCAATCCATAAAATAACAGGGTTAGACTAATAAAACTAGCTTAGTTTAGAGTGATAGCTAAAAGCATAGACTTGGAACCAGACTGCAAAACTCTGTGCTTCTGTGTGGCCTGGTTGGACAAGTGATTTAATCTCTCTGCAGGTCCTCTGCTAGCATTTGCTAGACCTAAGGCAGGAGTATACAAGGGAAGCCCACATCTCTCAGATTGAAGTTTTTAAGAGTTATAAATCAAGGTAACAAGCTCTTTTTTCTAATATATGTTATATCCTTCTTCCTTGACAAATGTACCTCCAAAATAACCTAGAAAACCAGGTTTTGAGTTGAGGATTCTTGGATTCCTTGGAGTTCCAGGTCAAACATGGCAAAGCCAGCTCTCCTCTTCTGTGTGTGCTCACTTGCCCCCATGCCCAGGTTCTGTTTGCCCCTTACAAGTGGCCACCCTGAGCTCACTGGCAGGGAAGTTTGCCCTTGGACACATGGACCCAGGGAAGGGGCTGGTGCAGATGCTGAAGGTGGACTCAGGCCATGTGGGTGGGGATTTCTGGACCCAAATACCCAGAGTATGGTCTAGAAAGGTGCTCGGGCTTTAGACGGCCACATATCCTTGACCCCAGGGAACTCCTTGTCTGTAAGAAGCAGCACAGCTGGAGGAGAGTCAGAGTGCAGGCCTTTCAAGCTCAGGGCCTAGGGCAAGGACCCTGTATGACATGTCCAAGGAAGATTCTGCCTCTCTGTGCCTCAGTTTCACTCAGGGTGACCAACTCATCCAGGTTTGCCTGGGACTTGCCCAGTTTTAGCACTAAAAGTCCTGCATCCCAGGAAAACCCCTCAGTTCCAGAAAAACTGAGACAGTTGGTCGCCTTCACTTCCTCATCTTAACTATTGGGCTAATAATATCTCATTAAATTGTTATGAGGATTAAATGATTTACCTCATGTGGTAAGCGTTCTATGAGTATTTGCTATTTTTTTTTCCAATTTTTATTGTAATAAAATACACATAATGTAAAATTTACCATTAACTATTTTTAAGTATTCAGTTCAGTGATGTTGAATACATTGATAATACTGTGTAGCTATCATAACCATCCATCTCCACAACTCTTCTCATCTTGTAAAACTGTACCTCTATCCCCATTAAACAATAACTCCCTCCTCCCCCAGCCTCTGGCAGCCACCACTCTACTTTCTGTCTTTGATGTTGGCTTTTCTAAGTATCTCATGTAAGTGGAATCATACAGTATCTGTCTTCCTGTGACTGGCTTATTTCATTAAGCATAGTATCCTCAAGATTCATCCATGTTGTATCATGTATCAGAATTTCTTTTTAAGACAGAAAAAGGTCCCACTGTATGCATATGCCATATTTTGCTTATTGATGCGTCTGTCAATGGACATCTGAGCTGCTTCTGCACTTCCACTATTGTGAATGATGCTGCTGTGAGCATGGGGATAGAAATATCTTTTTGAAACTCTTCTTTCAGTTATTCTTGAGTATAGCCAGAAGCAGAATTGCTGGGTCATATGGTGATTCCATTTTTAGTGTAGTGAGGACCCTCCCTACTATTCAGCTATACCATTGTACCTTCCCACCAACAGTAACAAGGGTTCCAATTTCTCCACATCCTCTCCAACACTTGTTATTTTCTCTCTCTTATTTTTTTTTTATAGTAG